TCATTGTGGTAAACGAAATAATAATTTGACCTAAGTAATAGTTATTTTTCTTCCCGATTTGTAAAAATCCTTACACGATAGAAAAAAATTAAAATTACTTTCAAAATGTGCATAGCTGAATTATGGAAAATCCGTTATTAAAACCAAAACAACTTTCATGAACTTTAAATTCGCAGGCCCGTGTAATCTATAAGCCCTTTAAGAAAGCTCCCAAGTCTAAGGTATGATAATAAAAAAGTATTTATTAACACTTTTCCAATTGGGGCAAGTGCCATTGATATCCATTGTTTTTTCCTTTTAACAGTGAAAACACATAAACTTACACGAGACATAGAACAAAATTGTATCTAGTTTTAACCAGGAAACTAATATAACTTCAGTTTTTCATATTGTGAATTTTCCTAATTTTCATTGTGAAACACTGTTTTGAAAAGACATCATGGATCTTCATTTCATTTATAAGTTCACTTTTTAAATGCTGATGAGATAGTTACATTTCAACTTGATTAACACTGTTTACCATACTTGTTTTGGTACATTATTTTACTGACTGCAGTATTCAGCACTTCTGGCTATAAAACACAGAAACTGACAAAGATTTATTGATGACCTAAAACTTGATCTTTCAAAGTGGTGTCAGACGAGACTTAGTAACAATATTCATGGTCAAAATCAATTGGAATATATCTTCTCTTCAAGGAATTATAAGTTCTTTGCTTGAATGAGACAAACTTAACAATAACATTCAGAATATAAGGACTTGATTCACATTTGAATCATTGAGTCAAGACTTGCAAAAGCCAGTAAAGTATGTGTACAACACTCACCAATTCTTACATACATCAACATCCAAACAAGGTCCAAAGTGAACCACTGACATACATCATCCTTTTTCCAAACTTTACTATCAGTTGCAGATTTGGACTCTTACAAAGAGACTGAAACAAAAGATTGTAACAACTGAAGGGAATAACTAAAAGAAAGTGTATAAGAAATGAAGCCATCAGACAACAATTGGGAGTGATCTCAATTTCTCACCACATACAACAGGTGAGATGATTTGGACATCTAATGAAAAAGTTCCAAACAACATCACAAACATTGTATATTCTTAAGATTGAGGGAAAAAAGCAAAAGATGAGAAAGGATTGATCTCTCTATCCGGCTTTCCATCCTCAGTGGAAAAGCTACTCAAATAATTGAACTCAGGGACATGTATGATGATGTGGCAAATACATCCCAACTGCCCATCAATGTGATTTTTGTTGAACACAATACATTCAATCTTTTTTGTTGCTTTCTTTGATGTTGTGTCAAAATACTAACAGTGTAAAATTTCTCAAAGTTAAATTAGCCAATGTCATCTAGAAAGCTAGTTGTATAATATCAGAGTTAGAACATAAACAACCTTTATAAAACACTATCTGATGGTTTAGATACTTTACCATTTGAATAACACGTTACCTAAAGTTTCTTTTGAACACTTGTCTGAAACACTAAACACAGTTATTGAAAGCTTACCTGAAGATGATCTGTAATTGATAAAGAGTAGGTTAAACAGTTTTATTGTTTTGAAACACACTATTTAGTTATGATACATGTTGAATATCTCCGTCGAAACTTGCCTGATGATTCAAGTTACTGTATTTTTCCAATAAACTTTTTGGAGTATCACTAATAGAGGATGTGGAAGAGAAACCAGTTCTATCCTGATAATCGACAAAATCATTAAAAGTGAAAATGTTTTCTGAACTGGTAGTAGGAGGCCTTGTTATGTCAACAACATTGTCACAAGAACTGTGAAATGTATGTCTTCGTTCGGCTGAAAATGAGATGAAAAGAAAAACTTTGAAAAAAACAACATTTTAAATAAGAAATACATTATTTGAATCAAACAGAATAAAACTTGTCTAGCTTTAAAAAACAATGTAGTTCTACAAAGAGAGCTTGAAATAAAATGAAAAAGTTACTGGCTAGTGAAATCCCATTAATAAAAATAATATAATTTAAGCACAGAAGAAAAACTATTTTTACAGAAGTATCAAATTTTTAAAAACATTTTTTTCATAATAAACAATTCTGGAAACAAGTTAGTGATATTTACAAATTAAATCACAAGGCAACCATAACTATTTTTGCAATGCAGCACTGACAAGTCTGGATAATTATTAGGTTTGGTATGACTGTCAGACCTAGTAAATTTTATGTTCATCTGTCCAATCTGTTCATTGTAGCAACAAAAACCTGGTACAGTCATTACAAAAATAATAGTTTATATGCCAAACTTTTATAATGTGTTACTTTTATAAGCAATTTGTATTTTTCAAACAGAGCTAGTAATTGCTAATTGATTAATCAACAACCTTATTAATTGATCAGTACGGTGTTCCTCAAACCAAAGTAGGTACAAGCAGAGAAACAGAAAAGTTAATGGTGAATGTTGCCAGCCAGGTGCCTTTCCTATAGTAAGTAGCTCAAACTTAGTGACAGCTTAGTGACTTAGCAGCTTTAACATAACAAACACAGGGTGAAGAAGTATAATGGCAAATCCCTCCTTCAGTCATCAAAGTCCAACAAACTGACAGCTCATAAGTAGCTGTTTGCTTATTACCAAACAAAGATAGTAGCAATATTTCAATTAGTTGATTATTTTCATGACAATTAATTAACTGATTATTGGGATAATAAAAAAACAGTAATAACGGACTTATTACTTGACATGGACTGATGTATTTGATGTTTAATCAGTTAGATTACTTGACATGGACTGATGTATTTGATGTTTAATCAGTTAGATTACTTGACATGGACTGATGTATTTGATGTTTAATCAGTTAGATTACTTGACATGGACTGATGTATTTGATGTTCATGGATAATTTA